TATATATATATATATATATATATATATAAAATATATTCAGTGTTAAACGACTGTAGATTCATTTTTCTTGTGGTTTGAGCCTACATGAACTAAACCTTTTGCTCAGAAACACAGAGAGGCATGACGATTCAACATTTTTATTTAGCTCTTAGTCAAATCTGTAAAATAGAACTTGATTCCCTTTTAACTACCATTTTGTAGAGTTAATGTCTGCCATCCATTAGGCTGTGCTTTTCAAATCAACCTGACAAGTGTTTGTTGGACGAAACATGGCACATAAGGCTTTTTCTTAATTTTTTCTATTTTTCTATCGCAGATTGACATACCACTCATCAGCTGTCATTTTTCTCCTATATTCTGCCAATATACGTAAATATTGGCCCTATGATTTCCTTTTTCACATTCATACTTTTCTCAACATTTGGAATGTAACTGATTGAACCCAAGGCTTCATTCAGACGGCTAATTTGAATGAGCTTTTTTTTTCTTTTTTCTGGATAAATACTAATACTTCTCCTGCACACAGTAGAGTTCCTCTTTGAGACAGATTTATTTTAAAGTAGAAATAGAGGACCTGCTCTTCATTGCCTGTCTTTTTTTTAGTCTCTTCTTCTGTCTCCTATCTTCTCCTTAGGCCATGTTTGCGAGCTACGTCCCTGAAATCATAGAGTTAATAGGAAACCGCAAGAAATATGGTGGTTCCTATAGTGCGGTTAATGGGAGAAAGTAAGTATTAAAGGAGGCTCTACTGCCTCCGCCGCAGTAGAACCTTCTCTGCATGCCTTTTTCTTTTTCTTTTTCATGCATGTAGGCCATGTTTGCTCGCTACGTGCCAGAAATTGCTGCTCTCATCCTTAATCGGAAGAAATATGGAGGGAGTTATAACTCGACCAGAGGCAGAAAGTAAGTCAAACAAATGAAAAAAACAGCTAACTTTTATTGGTGTGGTTGTGTGACTAAAGTGGCTCTCATAGACATTATGAAACTGTAATTTGAGATGTAATTATCTCAATTAGCACTAAAGTCACACTGTGACTGAAGACCTTGGCCATGATTAATGTGTAGACTTTAATTCACTGTTTTGCTGCTGCTTTTATGTGTCCAAGCTGTCATTGCTGTATGTCATGGATGGATGACTGTCTGCTTTTACACTGCAAAAACATCTCTATCCCAACAAGTTATTTTTGTCTGTTATTGAATTATAAAGGCTCTCTTTTAAGGTAAACTGGATACTTTTTTTTAACTAAGTCGAACAATCGAAAAAAGTTACATTATCAATAGAAAATGTTTGATATAGGGAAAAGCATTTCAAAGACTAAACTCTGATTAGGCGTTTCTTTGAGTAATTTTTATCACCAGACACATTCATTTCGTTTTTTGAGACCTCAAAAGAGACAATCATGACTTAAGGATGGATATTTTTGCTGCGTAATCATGTACATATTGTTATTGTCATGTTTAAAGATGGCACATGTCGGGTTTTCTCTCTAATCCATAATTGTGATTATCTATGAAACAGTTGGAAAAATATTTACTATATATATTATTTTTACATATATTTTTCAATAACTTGAGCAGTCATTTTTGACACTGATTAAACTTTTAACCAGCCATTGGTTTAAAAGTAAAAAAAAAAAAATGTAGATAAAATAATTATCAACATATTAAAGAATTATATTTTACTGTGCATGAAAAACAACTTTATTTCAGAACAAAAATAGACTGGTGTGATCCCCCCATCGCACCAGTTCACAGGTGTATCGCAATTCCTGTTCCTGAGAAAATCCTACATGATCTGTGGTGTCCTACTTGTAATGATGCTGCTTATTGTCAATGTACATTTGTGCCAAATTTGTGTTTGTAAGTCAAGTGTTTGCAGTCATCACATCAAAGGAACATACGGATTAATAGTTATAGTAATAGTTATAAATAATACCTTACCCCTAGTACACTTTAGGGAATTTATAGGTACGGTACTGTAATTAGGGAATTTTCTTATTAAGAAATTAAATTTAAATGTGGTGAATTTATGAAAAACGCTATTTTTAAACAAAGTTATTGAGATTGATGAAGCCACAATAACACATTTATGATGTTGAATTTCATTCTTTTTTAATGAAGTGATTCAAAAGAGTCCTGTATGCCATCGCTTGCTTCATGCCGATCTCTGGAATTTTGTTTTTCTGTCTTGGAAACATTTGTGCTGCTATGCTTTTTTTTGTCATGCTTTGCTTCTGAACATTCTTGGCCTTTATCTTCAGTCTGACCTACACCCGCAGGACTAAATAACATTTATCTTGAGTTTATAGTAATAGTTGACATTTTGGTGAACACACATTTCAACTTTCTTGCTGAAAGTAGGGTGATAAGATTGATACAACTGTCATGTCTGTAAAATAACCAGGAAACTAGAGCCAGGAAGCCATTAGCTTAGCTTAGCAAGTAAATCACCATTTAAATACAACTTGTCATTTTTAAATGTATTTTCGTTTAAAGTTTAAAATAACATACAATGTGTTGATTTATGAGATTCAAAGATGCTGGTATGTGAACCAGAATATCTGTTTTCCCCTGCTAGACTAATTATAAGCTAGCTTAGTTTAGCTTAGCACAGATGTGAAAGTAGCATCAATCATCTTATCCAACTTGGCAAAAAAAAAGTGAATTTCCCAAAAAGTCTTACTATTCCTTTAACACATAATACACGTTAGTGTCCAAAGATCTGCCGCTGTTTCTAAAGATAGTGAGATTCTGCTTGATGCCTCCAAACAAACAACTGCTTGTTGTAGCATGCTTTTGTGCTTCTGCACTTAGTTTGGAAGAAGTCAGACTTGGTTTGGGAAACTCTCTTAAACCAAATCATTGCTTCTTTTGTTAAAACAAATATTTTCTTGTGTATCGTGTACAATTTTGTATTTGTTCTTTTGTCTACTTTTTTTAATTATTGGTGAATTGAAAATGTTTCAACGAACTTATAATGTACTAGTAGATTTGAAACGATTCGTTTGTTCGTGTTTGGTGAGAATTACTCACTCGAATATCTGTCTAGCTTACATAGTAGCGAAAATCTAAAGTTTTGCAACATTTTGAAAGTCTAGAGATGCATGTTTGATTGTAGCTCCTTACATTTTTCTATTAATGCATCATTATTTTTCTATTTCCCTCTCCTCCATCATGTCTACTTGATGTCATCAGCATCAATACTCTAAATGTGTACTCATCAATTTTCCTTTACAAATTAGCCAAACAACTGGTGAAAATATGTATTTATTGTACATTGAAGCCAGAAAACTTCAATGCAGTAAAGCAAGATGAAACAAAAATGTTTATCACACAAATCTGAAATAATGTTCTTAGTAACAATACATATAGACATGTGTTACTATATATAAAGTAATAAACATAAACTGGGTTCCTTGCATAAAGGATCTGTGATAATGAGGGAATTGAGATAAACTGTGTGCTGATTTTATAATCTCCATCTAAGTAAACTCTGATCCTTTATAATCTCATACTGAAATCCACAGTGCTCTCTGACCTTCTCATTCAGCCCTCTCTCGTCACGACGGGAACATGAAACATCCTTCCTGTCACATAGTTTTTATGATTTCAATTCAATCACCTAAATACAAACGGTAGTGATTATTTTTCCATTACATCTCTCTCATCTCAGATTTACCTTTTGATTCCAGGACAACGATGACGATGAAACATCAATGTGTGTGTCTGTCTGTGCGTGTGTTTGTTTGTTAAATGTTATTCTGACTACATTTTAGTTTCATTATGATTCTGCCACTCATTTTCCAGGCACATCGTGGTCTGTGGTCATATAACACTTGAGAGTGTGTCCAACTTTCTAAAAGACTTCCTACACAAGGACAGGGATGATGTCAATGTAGAAATTGTTTTTCTTCATAAGTAAGTACAAAACAGAACATTTCCTTCCTCATGAAAAAAAATCTTGGTGAGATAGGAAATGATATTCCTCCTCAGATTTAAGAGTGTTTATTTTTTATCTGTCAGTATTTCCCCTAATCTTGAGCTGGAAGCCTTGTTCAAGCGTCATTTCACTCAAGTGGAGTTTTACCAAGGATCTGTTCTGAACCCACACGACCTGGCCAGAGTTAAGGTAAGTGACAGATCATACTTTGTCCTCTGTGGCTCAGAGGGAAACTGTGCTGTCTTTAAAGGTTATATACTTACTGATGTGTGTTTGCTGTGTGTGATCTTTATTCCAGATCGAATCAGCTGATGCCTGTTTAATCTTAGCCAACAAATACTGTGCTGACCCCGATGCTGAGGATGCATCCAACATCATGAGGTAAACCCTGTGATTAAGTTATTTTATTGGGTTTAAGGAGAACAATTCAATCAGAAATGTATAAGTACACATGTTCAATGATAAAGCCTAAAGAGAGAAAATATGAATCTTTTACAGCAGTGTTATTTTATTAGACTCGAACAGTTTTAAATCTATAGGCATAAATGATTGCCAGCTCTGGATTTAGTTAATAATATACATTATAAAAAAATGTTTTTCTAATTTGTAGGAGGTTGTTATGTTTAAGAATGATACCACATGCCAGGAAGTTAGGAAAACTGTTTTGAAATGTTCTGATTTGGTTTTGTCATTTCTGTCATGCATCAGAGTAATATCTATCAAGAACTACCATCCAAAGATCAGAATAATCACTCAAATGTTGCAGTACCACAATAAGGTTGGTCAAATCTGTTGCTTTTACTTATGTTATATTCATATATATATATTCATATCATGTTTGGGTGTTATATATTTTGGATCTTTTTTATTGTTTAACCTTTTGTCCACCTACATTTTAAATTTTGGAACAAGTGTATACATTTTTCTGTGTTCAGGCCCACCTTTTGAACATCCCGAGCTGGAACTGGAAGGAGGGAGACGATGCTATCTGTCTTGCGGAGCTGAAGCTGGGCTTCATCGCTCAGAGCTGCCTGGCTCAGGGCCTTTCCACCATGCTGGCCAACCTCTTCTCCATGAGGTCCTTCATCAAGGTAGCCACAGCTAATATTCAGCCATCTGTGATCACTGGATTGAATTCAGAAGTAAAGTTGGCCATGAAAAAGTTGTGAAATATATAATAATAATTGTCCCAGATGAGGCTCATGTTCAACATCTGGTGACTGGGTGGGGAGGAATGTGTAAAAACATGAATAAATGTTTTAATTAAATAAAACATCGTAATGGTAGAAGCTGTTTGTATTTTGTGTTAAATCTTTGTTATAGATTGAGGAGGACACATGGCAGAAGTATTACCTAGAAGGAGTGGCCAATGAGATGTACACCGAGTACCTGTCGAGTGCCTTCGTTGGCATGTCCTTCCCTGTCATTTGCGAGTAAGTACACAGAAACAAAGATTTTAAATGCTTTGTGGCCTTCTCTTCTGATTCCCTCTCTGTTACCTATCATGTTTTTCGATTGGCACTCTTTGGCCTCCATACATGTATGAGCAATTTCTCTTAAAATCCTTGAATAGCCATATTTACATTATGGTAAACACCTGAATTTGTACATTTTAGCTTTTAATAAATCAGACCTCTTACTGTAAGTGGAAAAAGGTGGCACTAAATGCTAAGACGATTTTTTGCAAAACTACAAATATTTACTGTGCGTTAAGTCTAATTATAGTGTTATTCTCTTTTGCAGACTCTGCTATGTGAAACTAAAGCTGCTACTGATAGCTATAGAGTACAAGTCTGATCAAAGGGAGTGCAGGTAAGTGGATGTGTTCACAGTGTTTGGTTAAAGTCATTCAAATTCATGGATGCAAAAACCTCAACACGCAGGTGTGTTTGCTGTCGGCATTTACCTTCAGTGATGAAGCTACTTTGAATCAGCTCCTCTGTTTGACTGCAAACACAAGCCGCTTTACAAAATGTGCTAAATTGGTGTCTAAATTGGTTTGTTCACAGACATCAGAGGCATTTTGATAACATCCTGACAAATTCATGAGGAAGGTGGCAGTTGGTTTCTTTAAACACAGCTGAAGCTTTGTGTTTAGTGGTTTTTATACAGCAAATGTTCCACTCTTTTAGGTGTCACTGCTATCTGCTTTCATCAACTTCATTTAATAAAGAAGCTATTGTGCCAAATGAGCGGGGGAAATGGATCCTGCCAGCGTGTCACTGCTCAGTAAATTCTGTGAACTTTATGTTGTGACAACTTTGGTCTATAAATCCTTGCAGCACCCTGATAAACCCTGGAAACCACGTGAAAATGCAGGAGGGGACATTGGGCTTCTTCATTGCCAGTGATGCCAAAGAAGTAAAGAGGTAATACATTGGACCTGAGTCTAAAAGTAAAACTACACAGTGTTGTAAACCTTGCAATATGCTACTTAGCTTAACATGTTGATAGCTGGTTGTTGTTAGCTATCAAGTTGTTAGCTGAAGTCACAAGGAAAAGTGTTGTTGCTAGCTAGGATGAATTACCAGAGGAGGATTTCTTTGGTGGGGTTGTTTGCATTTTACCAGTTCGTACAATATGACTATAAGCTTGACACGTTGCTAGCTTTTTGTTAGCTAAGGATTTTTGCAACAAGTATTGGATTTATTGCTTGCGAGAATCAAGTAGCAGAGGAGGTTTGTTTGGTTAGTCTGGTGGGTTGGACAACATGCTACCAGTGCTTGCAACTTACAACATAACTTAATACGTTTTACTTTAAACACATTCCAACTCATGCCTAAAACACTTTCGAGACTTATTTTAGAAAACCAGGGATCACAAATGTTTTGTTATCTGCTACCATTTTAATATGGGACTTCTATTTTTCTTCGACAGGGCCCTGTTTTACTGCAAAGCGTGCCACGATGACATTAGTGATCCCAAAAGGATAAAGAAATGTGGATGCAAGAAATGTAAGTGACTGCATTAAAAAAACATTGCATTGTTTAACCTCAGTAACATTTCTTCACAGCACTGAGTTAGCATCAATCTAGCAGTGTGATGATGTATTTACATGACCTACATAGCCATGTGTCCAAACCAATTAGTTCCTGCATTCATTATTAACGTCCTGTTACTTGTGCATGAACAAAGGTAATTGGATTTCTTTCTGCAGCCAAAACGCACAGGTGCAGTCCAAGTTTCCCTTGTAATGCTGCGCTTTTGGACCTCTATATAACATTAACATTTGCTGTCATTAATAAGTCAGTTCAGCATAATTAGAAAACACAGCTTTCCACAAGTAATAATGTAGTCAGGTTTGTGATTTATCCTGTGCGATTTTGGTGAACTGATCAGTCAAGTATTTATTTTTCGTGTCTCTGGTTGATGATTAATCTTTTTAGCATATTCTCTTCCTTATGATTCCCACCTCTCATAGATACACAGAAAAGTAAGAAACAAGCTAGTTTACTTCTCTCAAACCACCCGTGAAAACAGTCTTAATATGCATTTTGTCTGTTTGCATGTGTAGGTGTATGCTATGTTTTCTTCGGCATAATAGCTGTTCCAGTTCATTGATAACTTAGTGATGTTAACAGGCATTCAGAGAGACTGTTAACACCACAGGTACCTGGATGGATTGTGTGTCTTGAAACGTTTTGTTGCGCTCTCTCTCTTGGATTTAGCACAGCTACCACTTACACCTAATCTTAACATGTGCTGTATTTTCTTCCTGCTGCTTGGGAACTTGACACTTTCCTTAACAATTCACTTTATAGTGATATATTGTGAGTAGTGTGGATTTATTTCCCCTCCGAAAACACAGCCTGCTACCCCGACTGAAGCAATATGTTTGAGTGTACTGTAAATGTTGCATGTAAAATGGTTGATGCTGCCTGGATCCCTCTGCCTATGGACATGTGCACGTCACATTCAAATCGAGGAAAACATAACAAAAACAAATACACTTTTTCAAAAAACTAAAAAAATATATTTTTAGATACAAATATTATAACAATTGTATTGAAAGACCCAGAGAGACAATGACACAGCTGACTATGCAATACTTAAAATACTAATGTATTTAGTTTAGCATCCCTAAACAAAGCATGACAAATTATGTCACGCCTGTTTAAGATATAAATACTCCTTCTTACCACCAGATGTCCCCACAGTCCTTTGAACAATGCAACTTCCCTGCAAGAAGAGCAGAGCTAAAAAATCACCAGCATGGGAAAAGAGTACCATTTACTGTAGTGATACAATCATTGTATTATCTGAAACATACCCCAAAACAGTGTCATTCACTGAGGTGGTTGCACAGTCTGTCCCAGCATAGTTTTGTGACAAAAAACAATGTCATGGGGTATGTGCAACTTGGGAATGTCAAACGGATCATGGTCTTTTCAAACAAGTGTTGGACCTTGTATTTGTTTTTATTCTTTCTGGATTTCTAATTCCAGAAACAATGTCACATTTACTTTGACCTTTTGTTGGAGAAATGTCTGTTTAACTTCTCAGTTTGATAAAGAAAGCATTACAATTATTTAGGGTGTGTCAACAAGATGGAACTCATAGAAGTTCTTGTCTCTTCTGTTCCTAAAGAAAGAAGTCATGACCTCCCCTTCCCCCATGTCACTTTCCCCCCCCCCTAAACCACATGATTTTAAGACTTCATTATTTCCCCAACTAATCCTAGAAATCCCCCAAAATCGAATAAACCAAAATTCAAATTGTGACATTTGCACGCTGTTACGACCCTGTGCATCCCAGCAGCAGCCTTCCTCTGTGTCCTGTCTTGCCTTTGTCCACTCTTCCTCCAGAACGACCCTCTACATTAACCTGCTCTTCCTCTCCTCTCGTCTGAACCCGTGACTGTAGCCAAGACGGCCGCCTACAAGAAAATCAGACTGGCATGTTGTTTTGATTGCAGCCGCTCAGAGCGGGACTGCTCTTGCATGCCAGTTAATGTGCGTTGTAACATGGACTCCCCTCGACGCGACATCCCACTCTCTGCTGTCTCTGTTAATGATTGCTCAGCCACTTTACGTGCCTGTAAGTTGTCGCCATGACATGTGCTCTTCAGTGTCTGTAACATGCACTGTGTTATCCTTGCAATGTGCCTTTAGCTTGTGTGCTGTCTAGCTCTAGCAGCTTCGTCGTCACTGTCATGGATAAAGATGTTGCTTATGAGTCTTTAGCTTTATGATTTCAGTCAGTTCGTGTTCCTCCCCCTGTGTTGCTCCCTTTCGAAGTGACTTTTAGCTGTTGTGAAGCATGCCAGTGTACTGTGTTGCTGTTGTTTTGTCAGAGAATGTGGATTCAAATGGACTTATAGTTTAAATCACCTCAGTCATAGTGAATTTTTCCAGTGTGAAAAAAATTTGCTTCTGAAAGATAATATGCTTCTCCTCCAGTGACCCCGCAAACCTATTGAGAAGACATTGCGCTTTGCATTCCCGCCACAAATCTCCTGGGAACCCTGTTGAAGAATTCAAAATGCATTTCTTCAGATTATTTGTTTTAATAGGAGTGCACGAGAGCTATAATGATGTCACTGGAGAGGGTCACTAATTATTTTAGAATAACCCAAATAACATTTTATTCATACCAAATATTTCCCTACTGTACCCTCCAGGAATGGGTGGACAGGATAGTATTTTAGATATTTATTATAAACGCCACTGACAATTCATTTAAAAATGAAGAGGCAGGCTTAAGAGCGCCCGAGGGGATGTTCTGAGGGTAGCAGTACATATTGAGGTTAATGTACTGGTTTTATTAAATTAAGATCAAAAGCTTGAACAACCACTGAGGGTGACATTTCTTAAATATATTCAGTTCTCAAACCAGGACCCACGTTCATTGCCAGCAAAGAAGAGATTGTAGTCGTGGGTTTTAAAGGCGTTGAATTTTCAAGATATTTATTGAATTTTACAAAATGATGAACAGGATATGCAATAGAAAAGATCTGTATTGTATTGTATTGGACTGCAGGAGGAATAACAGGCAATAGAGTAGTGCTGGATCATATGATCTCAGAGAAACAAACCGAGTTGAGCAGCATATAAATTCTTAAGTGTGATTCCCTGCGGGCATGTTAAATTGTTCTGATATATCGCAGAAGGCATGAAGAATGTGTTCCAGTTTGCAGAGCGTTGATACAATTTGCTGGAAAACATTGCAGACTGTCATACAGCTTTAGTGATTATCTCTAGATCAAAGACCATTCTGTTGCTGTTGAACGTCTCAGGGCCCCCCCCCCCCCCCCCCCATGTCTTCCAGGGGTGTGTGCTGTGAGCATCGCCTGGCTAGCTGATCTCCAGCCGAGCTCCCGAGTCGCTGTCGACACGGAGGGAGAGCCGCGTGGAGAGAGGCCTTATGCAGCCTGACATGGAAATTATGTTTGCATTTTCATTTTTGGAGTGCTACCGGTTGTCATGAAACTCAGCCTGACAGTTCCTAACCACCAGGCAGCCGAGTGCCCCCGCCCCTCTCCTCCTCTCTCGTTGTGGGACAGATGCTAGCCTGTTAGTCCTGTGACTCTGCTCGCGCCCTCCGATTGCAGGCGACAGATGCCAGGACCAGCAAGGTCCCTGTTTGAACATTGCTGTCACTGTCCTGCCTTAAGCTCAATGCATGACCTTTATTGTAAGCAAGGGGTTGAAATAAGGTACTAATGAGAATGTGTGGGACTCACGGCTCCAAAAAAGTGACACACAGAAACTTCCGTGCACCAGTGCAGGTTGTGTCAGGCAGGGCAGAGGAACGGGAAACAGCTTTTGGGCAAGAAAAGGAAACATAAACAAGTAATATAGACTTCAAAACAAGAGAACATTATAGTAATGTGATATATTTTAGGAACTTCCCGACTAAATGTTATTTAAATGTAAGCACAGGTGAATTTCACATTTAAAGACATCTACACATCCAAGTAAAAATAAATGCTACATTTATTTTCCCAGTCAAAATATATTATTATATGAGCTGTACCATGGACGTGCATTAGTTTGAAATATATTAATTGAATGCTGCTAAAACAAGTGTAATGTGTAATCTTGAGCAGAAAGATAATTCATTGATATCAACCAACAGAATCTGCAATTATTTTGATAATTGTTTTAAGTTTAAGAACCAGCTTCGAAAATTGTGGTGATAGACATTTTTCCTTGGCTTGAATGCAACTATGACTAATTTCAATACTATATTAATTAACACAATATAGCAGATAGCCTTAACTTTGTTTAAAAAAAACACTAACTGTGCTGCCTCAAATGCTCCGTAGGTACACTGAAACACTGAAAATGATCCACTGTTCCAGCTCAATGACCACATTGATGAAGAGTCATGTTCCTAACTGACCCGTGTTTTTTCTCTCATTGCTTTGTCCGTGTTGTCTTCAAGGCACCACACTGTTTTAAACCTGCAGCCTTCTGTTGTCATTTATAATTTGCTTTCATTACAACCTGATCTTCCCTCTAACCTTTCATCTCTGTCTCTGCATTTTTCTCAGCTAAAAATAGCTATAATGGATATATCAAGTCAAGTAAGTTTTGATTTTCATTCTCTATTTTGTCATTTGTTTTCTTTAATCCTTCCACTTGTGCTTTCTCAGCTATCATCCCTTTAACTGTCTCTAACCGGCTGTTTTTCACTGTTTGCTGCTCATCACTGCAGTCTGTCATCATCCATCATTTCGTTTTATACGCAAAGCATCAGGGAAATATTTGATTGGTTTGTGTTGGGTATCAGTTACAGCTCAGCAGTAGATGGTGCTACTGCTTCACTGTGCGTGGGTGGAGATGGATCAATCAGATGGAAATACAACATTTAGAGCAAATGTGTGCAAGGATTTATAATGTAGACCCATGTTATAAAATAGACAGGATTAATATGACTACACTTAAGAGTTTAATATTTCTCTTAGCCACTAGAGTGAACCATGTGGGCCATCCACTTCAACATGATCAGTGATCTAGTGCAAATCTGCCACAGTGCGTTGTCCTTGGGAAGTGTTAGGCATGTTTGACATGGGGCAGATGAAAAGTGGAGGTCTGGAGCAGGGAGGATAATCTGCCCGACAGCTGACTGTTGAAATAATCATCTCTATTCTCCCATTTGAGCTCCTAGACATTTTTTGTGGTACAATTTTCTTCTGTTTCCTTTTTATTCCTATTTTATCATGCCATCTTTACCACCAGTGGAGTAGTAAGCGACCACATTTCAAATAGAGTGGATACTGAATGAATGTGTCCCTCATCCGGCATAAACTGCACAAAGCAGCCAGTGGTAGTTGATTCACATTGTCACCTCCTTGTTCTTATGGCATAACAATAGCTGGAACACCTAAAAAGCATATTTATTAATTCATGTTTATTATAAATATCAAAGTAAATGTCAAGTCCAACATTTCATTGGTGGCTAGACCAAGTGGTTAAGTGGTGTTTAATAAAAATGAGCTTTTTTAATTATTCAGCTATTAGCATTCTTATGCCAGAAAGAATTACCCCCGCAAACCAGTGATTGTGCTTTAATTATGATAAGAGTCTAAAGATGTTTTATTAACATACACACTGCAGGTCTTACGGAAGTCAGTTTAAATCAAATCCTATTTTAGGTTAATGCGAGGAGTTAAAGTGTTGGTTCACACAAAGCAAGGCTTTATGACCTTCCGCTTGTGGTATCTACTCATGCAGATTATATTCAACTTTATGCATCTGTGTTTTGAAATATCTGGTGGTGAAATGTATTTGTAGTGCTCACAACATTAAAAAAGTATTTCAGAAGAATGAACATGTCTTACTCTGGAATAATTTACATAATGTACTGTGACTAGTTCTTCAGCAGGAAGTAGTTCCAATGAAAGCTATTGAGCGTAAGTCCTTAGCTTTATTCTAATATTTTTGTTTCAATGTTGTGCTACAAATGTAATTGATTTACCTCCATGCTATAAGGATTGATGCACGAGTCTCAGAACACAAACTCAAAGCCTTGGCTCATAAAATGAATGCCATCGACATAGCAATATAGCACTAGAGGTCAGGGAATTATTTTTTTGGGGTTAACTGCCCTTTAAAAAAAAGCAGAGAATCAATGTATCTGCATTGTACAGATCCTGATTGTGCCTCCTCTTCATTTAGCAGTTAACAACGGTCCCCTAATCCTGTCGGCAGATTATCAATACAACTCCGCTAAACTGAACCACAGCTCAGCCAGCGTGGTCTGTAGGGGGCCCCGTAGCGGAGTCGCTGTTGTGTCCGTCCCGTTGGTAAACAACCGCAAGGGAAGCCTGCTGCCCCCCGCCAAGCCCCCCGCTCTGAGAGTGGGCATCACAGGCTCTGGGGACCTGAGCCGGCTACCGAGGGCACGTAGCCTTCCGGTGAAATGCAGATACCAACCCAGTCACTCCAATAACAGCACGCTCAGTCGCAGGCACTGTAAGGGCCACCCTCCCCTCGGCGTGTTTGGCAGGCCTGTACTCAACAACAGCACCGAAACATGTGCTTGCCAGGCTGGAGTGGTTGCATGTGTAGCATTCCTTACTAATGACCCAGTGTGTGCAGCTGTCAGCTGTGAAACATTAAATATTGAACAGGCCAAGAAGAGATGTGAAGGGCCAGTGTGTTGGAGCATCACTCTCTACTGGAAGCCCCCCCCCCCCTATAACTCATCATTTTCCATTATAATGTTGCTCTTAGAAATGCTAGCCGCGCTGGAAATCATGCGTTCATCTGCAGAAGAGCATGATTTTTGGGACTTTACTCCTTTTGACGAAAGCCAGTCTGGTTTTTCTTCGTCCTTGACAGCTTGAACTATCATTAAAAAATATTCAAGCGTGTTTTCCATGACGTGTAACAAGCTATTCCCACTATTAACGATGGCTGTTAAAATGCGATTAGCGAAAACAATTCTCGCTGCTTGTGTTTATTTTACCAGCGACTGCCAGAGAGAGGGGTTGTTTTCTTCAGCTGTGATATTAGCTTGTAAAAATATTTGCCTGATTTTTACTCGAGGGTAAAACTTGTAATTTGTTCCCTATGAAGGGCTCAATGCAGTTTCCTGTAGTGATAAAGACAATGTCCAAGGGGCCCCTCAGCTGTACATAAATCACTCTGGCACGAGGACCCACATGATTATATGAGCCCAGGGTGTCACTCCCAAAACGAATACCAGCAATCCAGACTGGATTGAGTATTGGCACAAAACAAGCCTTATTTATAAAGCTGGGCGCATGATGTTTATAGGTTATTATCTTAATTAAATGACAATGTGAAGGATTAGTATGAGGAGCTAACCAAGTCTATGCCTGAGGAAATTTGTACTAACAAGGGATTGAAAAATGAAAGTATCCTAATACCCTTTGAGGTATTTGTGGAACTTCATTATCTGGTTTACAGATTTTCTCTGGATTAGTGTGTGTGTGTGTGTGTGTTAAATAAAACCTCTCAGATTAGACTTTAGCACCCGGCATGATGGTTGATGATGGCACTATTGCATGTTTGCATCTCCATACACATTCATGCAATGTGCTAATGTCTGCTGTCCTCATCATGCAAACATTGGACTGTTGCATTCAACTTAAAGTGTCCTGTCCACTCCATCGTCTTCACCCAACCTCTGTCCACTCCATGTCTCTGTAACCCTATAATCTCTTTGAATTCACTGACCTCCGATTGTGCCGTCTTGTTATTTTTAGCTGTCACTGATTTTTGATTCATTCCGATTCCTACTTCTGATAATTTGCTTCTAATACTGTCTTTTTATTGCAGTCGAAGAGGACCAACAGTTGGCGTTATCGCCGAAGAAAAAGCAACGTAATGGAGGCATGAGAAATTCTCCAAACTCCTCACCTAAAATAATGAGGTAGGACATTTCTGCCATTTCTGGTGCTGTTAATTGTTCTATTGGAAGATGTACTGTTGAGTGTATTTATTTAGTATGATTTAAGAACCAAATGTACACAACACTGAATAACTATCACCAAGTTGTTTTGGCAAAATTGCCTTCACCAAACACAACAAATGTTAGTCCAAATATATTTTCTTTTTAGCCTGTTTTTTGTTGCCACCAACTACTGTGAATAACAGCTGGCTCGTAAGCTGGTAAACACTCCACTATGTTACGAGCTAATCGCTGTCTGCTGTTTGATGCTGTGCAGGCATATCGTACAGTTGGTTTATAAGAATCTGTGGCTGAAAGCAAGGTCCTGTTTTATGCAAACATGTAAGACTTGCTCTATGCTGCGAGGTTTCCAAGTGACACCCACAGATTGCAGCTCTTAAACCGGCCTGGCACTAATGACAGCGGCAGGCATTCAGAGAGGCTCTAAAGGATAGATAGCCCAGGGCTATTCATCTATTGTTGGATCCCTCTGAGCTCTCCTCAGCACGTTAGGCCACAGATGATATGTATCATCACAATGAAAGGAGAATTCAAATGCTACCTTGCTTTTATCTTGTCCCGTAAAATTAAATTGGAGCTTATTGATTTTGACTGGATGACGCTGTTATTCAACAAGAAGCCATTACAGGGATAGTAATAGTCATTGTCATTAAGTGCCATGTTAAAAGGAAGCAAGGCACCAGGGAAGTCTTGCAGCCTGATGTATACAAAGTGGAATAATAGAGATGAAATTGAATTAAAACTGACAGATGACTTTATGCTCCCATTGCTAATATAGCTGCTATTCATTTAACATTCAGAAATAAATCCACAAATGTATGTGTTATTATATATAATTGAGGTTGTATTATATATATATAAAAAGGAGTGTTTTCTGCACTATTTAGCATTTTCCTTTGATCTATGGCCTCTGTTTCTTCTGGTGGGTGTTTGCCATTGTTTGATTGTTTGATTTGGTTCAAAGTTGTGTCAAAGTTGATTTGCTCCAGGTGATTTCCAGTCTCTTGGGTAACACAACTAGGCTTTTCTAAAGCAATAGCCATCAGCAAAATATCAGCCCACCAAAACCAATCCATCTACTTGCCATGCAAATACGCCGCTCAGCACAGGTGGATGTGTTATTTTATCCAGCGCGTCTGCTGCCTGCGCGCTGGAGAGGGATTCTCAGCGGTAGCCTTAGGGTGACTTCACTGCAACAAGCCGAGAAAAAAACATCTGGGTGTATACTATATCAAATGTGTTTTTACAGGACCTGCGGTCTCAAGGCCTTTGTAAATAAGTAATGATCAACAGATTGGCTGAGGGTTTTGAAGAGCAAGCCTTTGTCAGTTTGCATGATGGGAAGGATTTCCAAAGACTTTGCCTGCCCTCACTACTTGTGCTGCTTTGCAGTGGTGCTGGAATAGAACATTTACATAATATGCATGTTTAGCTTCTACTTTGTGTCTCTCTCAGGTGTCATTACACTCCTCTGGAAGACACCTGGCTTTATGTTGTTCGGTCATGACGTGTGAAGTCTTGTCAAACGTGTCATCTTTACCACTAAGGCAGTGAATTATGCTGCTGATGGTTTTCTATGTTTAGAAGTGCGTTTCCAGAGAAGACACTCGCAGACACTTCTGCTCCGTGTAATGAAAAGAAGCGCACAAAATAAGAAAGCAATCATCTGGAGAAGCAGAACTGTCTCCTGTTTCCAGATGTATCAGCAAACTAACACATCCTGTCTGCAACTTAGCAACGACGACCTCACTGAAATTAACACCATTTCCACAGGCTCCTTGATGGGTCATAAGACACATCTAATTGTGGGATGTCACAACGCGTTGGGTCACATCGCACCGCACCGCGACATACACGTCATGTCTGCTACAGGACTGCTGAGGCAATTGGCAGTGCAGGATAGTGACAGGCCGACACGGCTGACAGTGAGCGATAGCTATCCTGGCAGAGCTCGGCCTCACCAGTCATCTTCCACAAGGACAAACTGAAGTGACAGCGGCTCCAGTGAGTGAGTGGTGAAACATTCGACTTCTGATGAAATATTTAGCCGGGGTGTAAAACCACTAAATGCTTTCACTCTTATTGGAACTTCAGACTCGAGTAGAAGCGGTGAGGTTGAGTGCAACAAGAGTTATGGACGAGGATTGTTATGGATAAGCAGTGCTAAAAGTATCGATTTGTTGATTCACTGGATAATATAATTTATGAAGCTGCTTTATATCATTTTAAATGTAATATTTTTGGTCAGCAATTTGAAGATGCCACATTGTGCTCCGAGAAGTTTTTATGGATTATTTTCACAGCTATTCAATATTCTATAGACTTATAATCATAATATTAACTGTTTACTCATGTAACATTTTTAGTGTACAGTGTCAAGGTATACATATCACTAGGTAATATTTATCATATAGGTCCGGTATATTTTATTGAATATTAACATATTTGTAGATCTTATACTTTTAATATAATATTTTACATTCATCCATAGATTTTAATGTGCACACTGTCCTTTTAAACTACAATTGCTTTGACAGATGTGAGTTTGAGAGGTGGAAAAAGGCAGAAAGGACATTTGCTTCTCCAACTACTTCCATTCTTGAAAGGACATCCAGGTCTAGCCTAGGGGTAAATGCAGTAAGCCCAAGGCGGGCTTTTTTGGCGGCAGTCTGTTGGAGCCCGAGGGATGGTAGTTTCAGCGGACACTTTCATGCATACTTAACTGTTACTTAAAGCAGCATTCTTTTAAAGTACTCACATGGATTAAACAGGAGCTCTTCTTATGGGGAGAAGTATTTAAAAGGTTTTGGACAGAGACAGAAGGCTTCTGTCTGAGTTGCAGAGGATAACCTCTTCAACTGTGATCTGGATCTGACAGTCAATTTAGTGCAAAGGGAATTGTGTTGGGCAAAGGCTGTGGTTAGCTTTGTTGCTATTGTAGTGGATGATGTTTGACCATATTAAGGCTTTTCTTTATTATGTTTCTATGTTCTCTTTTACTCTGAGTGGGTTTCCTCCTAACTGTTCAAATAAATGACTTTTGATGGCATCCTACTGCGATTTAGCAACAGTATTTTTTTTATCATTTTACAAAATGATGTCTTGTTTGAGAAAAATGTATGTATTATATGTCACATCAGTTAATTACGAAGTTGTGCATAAAAACACACAATATCTCATGGTGTATTGCATAGGGCCCATTTACTGTAATTGTAAATGTGTGATATCATTCTACAGTATGTGTGTGTTTATCCTGTGCTCTGCCTCTCTTATGGTGCATGCTGGGATAAGCAACAGCCCATGAACAGTGATATCAATTTTGGTGTATGAACATGCATGATTTATGTTAGGAAAAGACAATGCATATCTTTTTTTTCTAATACATTTTGTATAGCCTACCTACATTTGTTTTATTTAACATAATTGTTTTGGGTTGTTTCTTTAGCTTATTTGATTGTATGTTTGATGTTTTTCTTCTTGTGGGTGGGGCTTGAGAAGTAAAAGAGGTGACATACAGTATTATACTTAAAATATATTTTAAAAAATCATATCACTGAACAAGCGTGGTGAACAGCAGGTACTCGTGTTGAGACCACTTTAGTGGTCAGTGTTAGGTAGGATAAGCTCACCGCAGCGCTCAGTGAAATGAGTTTATGTAGTTCTGATGCTCTGTTTAAACATTAATACCCTTCACATGGAACTGCAAATGTGATTGGGAAAATAGCTGAAATATTTAAAGTCTGGTCTGTTAAAGCTTTTATAACGCAGCACACAATGTCAAAAGCTGTATGTAGTAAGGGGGCGTAATTGCATCTCCATGCTCATGCCAGTCAGCGCAGTGTGTTGCTGCCATCCTCTTCCGCCTGGCTGCCGCTGCTGATGTCACTCTGCTTGATGACATGGCAGTTTTGTTGGCATTTCTGCAGATGGGCTCTGACAGGAATGAGTAAAGAGGGGGGAAAAGGAAGAAAGCTACTTTTTTTATTTGTGTGAAGGAGCCCTAAATATTGGAATGGTTATTGATGAATGTTTTTAATGTAATCTTCTTGTATTATAATTATTTCTATTTCTTTTTTCAATTTATTATAATTTTAATTTGTCCAATTTTAAGGTGGTTTTATTAACATCTTTTGTGAACTTGATTTTTTTACATTTTTATATTTTTATTTAACCTTTTTTTTTTTATTCAACCTCATATTTCTTTTTGTAGAAAATCTTTCATCAATATTATTACTTAAGCAGGCTTGTGGATTATATTCTCAGGTTAATCATCTAATAATTAAGCTTTATAAGTCAAATGCCAAGAACTAGTCGATTTAATTTGTGTTTATGGTGATGGTATTTTTTCATTCCCTCTCCCCATGTTTTTGTTTGATTAGACATGACCCGCTTGTCATCCCGGGGAACGATCAGATGGAGAGCATGGACGAGAACATAAAGAAATACGACTCCACAGGGATGTTTCACTGGTGCCCGTCCAAAGACATCGAGAAGGTCATCTTGGTGGGTTCTGCTCTTTTACTGGGCACACGTCATTTGTCCCTGACACTCTTCTACCCGGTGACAGATGTGTCATGTCACAAAGTACCATCAGAGGTTGACAGGGCACTTAAACACTCTGTAATGAGGTGTTTGACATTTCATTTGCTATATGGGCTCCCTGTACATAGAACATTTCTTGTCCTAATACATATGCCATTTTTCAAATTACTTTCATAGTCAATTGCAGTCATGAACTGCATAATATATTTGACAGCTTAAATAGGCAACTGATAGAAGAGAAAGCACTAACGTTTGCTAAAAAAGCCACTTCATGTCACATTTATGTCGTACACATATATAAATGATATATATTTTTTAAACCGTGTGTTCTTCTTTCCCTCTCAGACCCGGAGCGAGGCAGCCATGACGGTTCTGAGCGGCCATGTGGTCGTGTGCATATTCGGAGATGTGAAGTCAGCATTGATCGGTCTCCGAAACTTCGTCATGCCTCTGAGAGCGAGCAACTTCCACTACCACGAGCTGAAGCACATTGTGTTTGTCGGCTCCCTGGAGTATCTGAAGCGGGAGTGGGAAACTCTTCACAATTTTCCAAAGGTCTCCATTTTACCTGTGAGTATAACCAAACACCCAGATAGAATAAACATCTGGAATGAAATATGTTGAATATTAGCATGAAATGTATTACAGATATATATATAGTCACCAAACAATGTATTCTGGTGGCTCTATACAGTAATCCCCTGACTTTTCCACTAGGGCTGCCATGATGTGGTTATAAGTGTAATATCTCCTAACTTTTAGGTGGTGTGCAATGACATTTTTCCCCACAGTGATCCTTAAGTTTTTCCTGCAAAATCAAAATGTATTCTTTGCATTAAAAAAGATATGCTTAAGCAACTCAAAGCTTTATTTAGGTTTGAAAAATGATGGTTTGGGCTAAATCTTTAAAATGTCAAAGCTAACTTAGAGCTCAAGTCAGGACCACTTTTTCCCTCCCAAAAAAGATGAAAGCTGTACTTTAAAGTAGCTGCATTTTCATTCACCTCTTGGTGTCATACAGGTGAGATTACAAATTCTCTCCTTCACTTCCTCTCAAAGGGCACGCCGTTGAGTCGGGCAGATCTGAGGGCTGTAAACATCAACCTCTGCGACATGTGTGTCATTCTGTCAGCCAATCAGAACAATATTGACGATGCATCACTTCAGGACAAGGAATGCATCTTGGCGTCACTCAACATCAAATCCATGCTGTTTGACGACAGCATCGGGGTCTTGCAGGCTAATTCCCAAGGTAAGGAGCGCCCTATCATAGTTCACTGCACCGCCTGGAAGGGACAGGGTCCTGGCACACAGAATATCCCTCACTGGGTGCTGCCTGGCTGACCTGGTGTCAGTGCATTTGACAGTAAACCCTAGTGACTGTTCCTCAGGTTACTGTAACAACTGGTTTCTTCACAAACCTAATTGGTGGCAACAAGCACAGTGTTGGCTAAAATGCCTCACCTGGCTTTTATTTATTTTTCACTTTATGGGACTGTTTGTAAAAGGAACATAATGTGTATAATTTATGAATATTGCATGTTACAGCTTTCAAAACAGCAACTGAAGCACTCAGTTAGCTTGAGATGGCCATCAATAATGGTCATTCTGCGACACTGAGAAATGCTTTTAGAAACCTTTTGACCTGAGGTAAAAAAAAAAAACCCTGCCAATTTCATTATTTCTCTAATACATGTATGACCTCGCATTTGCCTTAGTCAGCAGTTAGTGATGGATGTCAAAACACGGCCTATGTATTATACATACAACATCACTGATTTAATGTGCTTACTTGTCACTCTGAGGAAAGCAAGGAATGTCAAGTCAATTTGAATTCAATCTTGCGGCGCTTATTTTCTATTTCCTGGCTCTTTATTCTCTATACTTTTGTAGGTTTCCGTGTCCATGCACACACAATTTAAGGGAAACAAAATGAGCAGTATGTCACATCTATTATGGATAGACTAATATTGGACCTTGTCAAGAATACTGTAACATCGCACTCAGCAACTTTATGCGATAGCAGTGGCCGGGAACGGATGGAAAAGCCCCGGTGTATTAGTTTTGCTGATACGCCGGTTTGAAGCCTCTGATGAAGTATTGAATATTGCATTAACAGATGTGCTTCAAATTATGTGTGTCCATTTAGGTTTTACACCACCCGGGATGGATAGATCCTCTCCTGAAAACAGCCCAGTCCATGGATTAGTGAGGCAGACTTCCGTCACAACGGGAGCAAATATTCCCATCATAACAGAGCTGGGTATGCTTGCTGCTGTTCTCTCCTGTCAGCTGATTGATATGCTAGCTCTACTGTTGCCAGTTAAATAGTTGTAAACAGATCTGAGAACACAATTTCTGCAATTAGAGGCTGTCAACACTTGACTAACCGTACTAAAAGTGGAGGTTTTTTTACTGCTTTTTTTGTCCATTGTTGACATGCTCCAGTAACTGTTTTTCCTCAACACTTGTCTAGAACCATTAGCAAAGCCAGGCAAAAGACTGCCTGTGATTTCATTCAGTCAGGATAAAAGCAGTGGGACCAGCATACAAATGATAACTGAGCTTGGTAAGAAGTGCCTCTGTCCTGTTCTGCAGTGTTGTTACTGCTGCTGCCTCCATATCAGCTTCCTTTTGATTTCTCTCGCTGCACTAGAGGCTCAGTCCATTCCCATGGCATCACTTTGAGCACATTTTCCCCTTGGTTGTGGTTGGAATTGCCTGTCTTGTTTTGGCCCCCTTATCTCAAAGCAACATTTTTCCTTTTTATTTTTCTAAGAATTACAAGGCCTTTGATCCCTCAGAAGTCCTTGTAGCTGTTCTTATAGTATCTTCTGTCGGATCACATTCTCTGGCCCGCGCACTTACTTTCATCTCTGCACTTTCGATATGACTGACATGTATTCCTGTCCTCACAGAAGTAGCAGTTCTCCAACTAAATTTTACATCGTTACTTTCTTCATTCTTCTGCATGTGTTTTTATCCTCAAAGACGTCTTCAAAGAAGGTTCTCGGGCACTGAGATACTTTCATTGGTTTTGACATGCTAGTACAACTAATTGGACTTTCTGTCTTGGATTTACAAGGCAAACAATGGCATATTGGTGTTTCTGATACTGACTATATGAGGACTTTGAGTCAAGGCCTGAATCTTCGACGATATGCATGGTGTCATGAGTGTGCATGTCCTGGATATTGAATGTAGCAAAGGCAAGTTAGCTACATGACCGAACTCAAATGCCAGACATGTTTAATTTAAAACAATTTTGTCCAAATTACGAACTAAGGAGAATTTTTGGAACCATACACAGATTTATGATACAGTCCATTTATAATACAGTCCATATCTGCAGCTTCTGACTGTGTTGCACAACCACTTTACTTCTGTTTCTTCCTCTTCACGTGAATCAAGTGCCTGCTTCTTAAGCAACTTTTCCCTGAGATCTGGTTTGTAGAACAGAGAAAACCATGAACAAATACAAATTTCTAATAAAATGGTCATGTTTATCTCCATAGTGAACGACTCAAACGTTCAGTTCCTGGACCAAGATGACGATGACGACCCTGACACAGAGTTATACCTCACCCAGCCGTTTGCCTGTGGGACAGCCTTCGCCGTCAGTGTGTTGGATTCCCTAATGAGTGCTGTAAGTTGAAAATGATTTAGCAGGCAGTATTCGTTTATCGTGCAGTGACATATAATATCCGTAAATGATCTGAAATATGCAAGAAATCTTGTGTTTTTATATCCAGCCCCTCCCCAAAATGTGAGAACTCTTTTCTCCTCTCACGTTAAAACAATAGTTGACAAGACTGGGTATGATGGCTTGACTTGTCTCCCTTTCAGTTTGAGTGAGGTTAGAACAAAGCTGCCTTCAAGTGCGCTCCAGTGTAGACAAAGGTAATGCTACCTAATGGACAGCCCTCATCCATCATCTGACTCAATAGCGCTGTCAGTAGCCAAGGGAGATGTCACTGTGCCGTACAAGCAGGGGGAGACAAGAGACCGGGGTACAGACACTTGCCCTTTTTTAAATTAACAAAGCCGTAACTGAATGTAATTTAAAAGATAGCAACTTCATTGGGGAAAGTATATCTTCAGTCTTTTCATGCAGTTTCTACATAAATGTCAGTTTTTTTGCTGTGAGAAATGCCTGGACAGCCTGAATGTGTGCCAGGACTTCCTGTGTTGAGTGATGGGTATTTGGGTAACCTGCAGTAATTGGATTCTCCTTCTCTTCACTGGGTGTAGAGCGATGTGACACATCGGGGCACGGTTAGATAGCATCATTGGGCCTGGCTGGCACTCTGAGAAGGTTCAATTGTGACTGTGGTGGCGTTTGCTGAAGGATTTATCCCCTCTCTACCTTCATTCCTTTAGACATACTTCAATGACAATATCCTCACCTTGATCCGGACATTGGTAACAGGCGGGGCGACGCCGGAGCTGGAGGGGCTGCTGGCGGAGGAGAATGCGCTGCGAGGCGGCTACAGCACACCACAGACGCTGGCGAACAGGGACAGGTGTCGCGTGGCACAGCTGGCCCTGTACGACGGGCCCTTCGCCGACCTGGGGGTAAGAGACTGGTCTGTGTCCCCCCTGGACTCAGCACATCTCTGTCTGCTTGTGTAGTGTAGTGAAAGGGATTCTATGTCCAAAAATAGGTGAGTTTAATCCATTCTAGTCATCTTCAATTAAGGGTATGAGCATTGAATAAACATCCCAACATTTCTTACTAATACAGTATGAGCACAGCCTTATAAATATGATGTTTTCCAATCAATAGAAAAAAAGATCATTTCACTTTTTATATATTTAAAAATATGCAGTATTTTACCAAGCTTTCAATTATTCCCTTTAGGAATAGGTCTGCAAAAAATGTTACACGTGACTTCAATCTACCTCTATCAAATGAACAATGATCAGTTAAGGACTTGTTTTCTATACTAGAGGTTTATAAATTCTTTGTAATTGATGATTATGGTATTTTTTTTTTTGCTTTTGTGAAAATATAGACTGTGTACTACATATTTAGGATTTGTTTGTCATTGTTTTGCAGGATGGGGGTTGTTACGGTGATCTGTTTTGCAAAGCCCTGAAAACCTACAACATGTTGTGCTTTGGCATTTATCGGTTACGGGACGCACACCTAAACCAACAAAGCCAATGTACCAAGCGGTGAGTATGGACCTAATGTGTCCTAGCATTGAGATTTAAAACAGCCCTTGTTTCCACCTTTGCTAAATTTAGAACCGGTCTGCCATCTGCTCCTTTCCCCTTCCAGGTATGTCATAACGAATCCTCCCTATGCGTTTGAGCTGGTGCCCTCAGACCTGATATTCTGCCTGATGCAGTTTGACCACAACGCGGGCCAGTCTCGGACCAGCCTCTCCCACTCTTCCCATTCATCCCATTCCTCCAGCAAAAAGAGCTCCTCCGTCCACTCTATACCGACCACCAACCGCACCAACCGCGTCAAGAGTAGGGACTCACGAGACAAACAAAAGTATGTGCCTGCCACCCGTTACGGTCCTAACTGTCCTTTTGCAAAGTGACAGTAACATGTGTTGGTGTTCATGTGTGTATTTGTGTCTTACTGTGTTTGTATGTTTAAGTGTGCGTTTAACCCCATTCAGAACAGTGTGGTTGGGCCTTCCCAATGACATAGGGCAGAGAAGGCCCCCCCCAAAGGGCTGCCAATTTGTCCATACATTTCTTATGCCAAGAACTGCAGTACCTGAGTAATTCTGTCATTCCTGAGTAGCAAGGGGATTTTTCTTTTTAATAATGTATCTTTTTTCTCTTGCTCAAGACAAAATTAACAAAAATGCAGTAGTGAAAGCAGCCTTAGAAACCAATCCAAAAGCCCTTTGCAGTTAAAAGCAATCTGAATAAACAATTTGTTTAAGGTACACTTTGAGACACACATTTTGCTCGTTCTAAACTTGTTTTCTATAGTTACATTGAAGCTGAACCTTATTGTACTTGAATCGCACTTGTAATACGTCTTCAAGAAGTACATTAGGCTATATGTTATACTGAACATCACATCCTCTTAATGCCTTTTGATTTCCATTGACATTCAAATGCTACACTTAGATGTTATTTGCCACCATGAATTATTAATTATGATACATTAAGATATTTGTAGTTACAAAATGTTGGTTATTAAATCATTTAAGCAACCTCAAGTGTTATTACATTTGGCTACAACTGCCCTAATGCCTGATGAGGGTCTAAGATTCGCAAACCAAATTGCATCAACAGTGTCGTACGCCATAAAAATGGCAAAGTGAAGCATGTCAAACAATGGTGTAATACTATAGTGTCCTAAAATGAAATGCCTTAAATGTTTAGTATAGCAAATATTTGAGTGTGATAATAGCCATCATTTGGTAGGCTATGACTTAAAAAGTCATATTATAGTATGTCCCCAGCCAACCATACCTGAAATGCCTCGGCTTGGAGACGCTTCCACAACACTAAAGTGGTTACGTTACGTGACAACAACAATCCATCTGTTTGTATTTCTTTTACAAATATCTAAACATTTTCTACTATGAACACATTTAGAGGATTCTGAGGTATGCGTTTAAGTTATTTCTATGGAAATTATTCACATTTCAATATTTTTTACTGTTCATTTAAAATGAATGAACAAATGTTAAAGGTCCCATGTCATGGCCATTTCTACTGATCATAATTAGATTGTTGAGGTCTACTAGAATAGATTTATATTGTGCAATTTCCCAAACTCACATTGGTTTCTCATACAGCATGTGTATTCACTCTCTGTCCTAAACGGCTTGTTGGAGCTCCTGCCCCCCCTCTCCCTTCCCTCCCTGTGAGCCCAGTGTGCTCTGATTGGTCAGCTCGCTCACTCTGTTTTGATGAGTCCACCACCGTTACAGCGGAACATCAGTTATTATGGCGTTAGCAACCAGAAAATGACACCAGTAATGACAAACAGATGAGAATGCTGCGTGGGGTCGTGTTGGCGAGACGTTGCGCGGCTCGCTGCTGTGAGGAGGGGACAGTGTGAGCTGGATTACTGGTGTCATTTCCTGGTTGCTGCCTGGATTCTGCGAGACAGCGAGACATCGCAAAACTCACCCTGAACTCAGCCTGAGCACCATGGACGTGGGAAGGGGGGGTGCTGAGGGGGCTGCAGCACCCCCCATCTGCGAGACTAGCACTGACTTTGCAGACCGTAATGGGGACGGGTAATAACCGGAAAAGCATGACATGGGATCTTTACATTTTCAGAGCTGCTGAATGAACACTACAGTACAAGCTTTTTATGGTTAGTAGTCTGTTCTATGGCTGTACCCGAATATCCGAATATTCGTTCATTGGAGTACTATTCGGGTTTCGTTATTCGGTTATTCGTTTTGTTTGTTTTTTCCCCTTTTTTTTCTCAAATTTAATTAATTGAAATCTCCAATATCAACGTAAGAGCTTGTGCCTCTTCGGGGGGTGCTAACACTTAACCATAAACGTTATCGTTTACTTTCTCCGTCTTTATAGGTAGATAATACTTTTCTACGTTAATCTCCGTCACGTTGTTTCCAAAGCAAAAACAACTTCCTGTCAACAGCGCTACCTCTCTTTCAAAAATAAAAGCATGTCCACCCTCTTGAACGTTTAACCACCGACTGATTTATGAAAAAACGGGGGTGACATAAGTTCGGTCGGTAAACTATAGGTACGAACACGGTTTTCGTTAACCTTCCACGGGTACGAACAACGAGTAAGTCTGGGTTTACCGTCGGTCGTACGGTCGATTGTTTGGTGTAAAAATATATATTAATCGTGTTTTATTTGAACGAACATCTTATACTTAATATTATTCAACCCATAAAGGCGGTTACTTTTACCGTTAAACACATCGGACTAGTAATAAAACGTACCGCTTGGTCTGAATTCCCGGACTGGGCTTCATGGTAAAAAGCCCCGAGGGCCTGATAAGCCCATCGTCAGTCGTCGCTTGGCGAAGTTGTACCAAAACCCACTTATAAGTTCCGAAGTAAAAAATAAGATGTCATAACAACACAAATATCAATAAACCAATTACGAATTGGGTTAAACACAAGAAACTTTAACTTTTCGCTATAGCGTAACACAAACAAAAAACAACGTCAACTATTATAGCAGTAAATCACATTAAACCGAAC